TCTCCGATCTTGTTCACAAATTCACGGACTAGTGCTGTCTCGTAAGAATTTCGTAGGACGCGTTAAGAATGACAAAATATTCTCTGTATCTACTTATTGATACCCAAAATTTATTTCGACGTGTACTGCACTAAATACACGGTCTGCGCGATAGACAAAGCGACTGTTAATAGTGTTTTTATTTAAGTGATCAGTGGCGTATCTAGGGATGCACGGGCGACGCACACGCCCCTTCAAACAATCCTGCCCCTTCAAACAATCCTACCCCCAGTCGCCTCGTCCCCTAAATAAATATCACGGTGAAGTAGTTAAAAATCATCGAGCGCCTCCCTACCAAGCCACATAGCTTGTATTCCACTATTTGCATTCACACCTGGGCTGTGTATATATATTGCCTTTGTTTGGCTCTTTAATCATTAGTGGTCGTGGGACTAGTTTGGAGCCTACCTAAGCTGGTCAAACGTGTCGTTTGGGTCTATACCCTAGCTGCACTGATGAGGCCTAGAAGGCCGAAACGGATCTGTCTGCAGATATTGGGATTCCTTCTAGTGGATGCTTAGTTTATTTTGTCATTCTGATCGGATTTTCTCTACAGTTCCGTTTTAATTTTAAATAGTTTTGCATTATGTGGCCGTTTGCTGTTTTATGGGGTTTTCCCATTTGCCTTTTAAAATTTATACTTATATGACATGACTATAAGTTGTGGTGTATCTCCTGTAGCAGTCCATAGGAAGAATGGCGGGAAGAGGGGGTACTGTCGTACCGTTCTAGAAAAAGCTGAAATAGCTCCTGTTATGTGAACTATTATTAGAGACTGATAATATTCCATTGGCCCAATGTCAGTAAGCTGGGAAGAAAATAAAACGGTTAAAATAGCACTATTGATTGCTTAATATGACTCAGTGTTTTGTACGTTCTGTTGTCTGAAGGTTTTTCATTAAAGGGCCCACTCACCTACCGGTAGTTCTTTCTATTCACCTCATCCAATTTTATCTTTGGAGTTTTACCCCGTCGACCTTGGGCACTAGGCTATTGTCGAGGTATCACCCTCCCTGAGTATATTCTCCAATAAAGTTTTGTTACTGGTTCGTTTAAATCTGTTTTTGTCTTCACCTTTGTTTTCTCGAGGAATGTGATCTTCTTTTATAGTGATCTAATACATTGCGTAATACAACACTTCCTTTTCCAAACAGTGTATCATATTTTAGTGTGCAGTGAGTTTGTTTGATGACACTCCCATCCCCTACGTTTGTATTTGGAATTATGTTTGTATTATAGATGTTCACAATAATTAGCAAAGAAGAGTGGAGTACATTCAACCCAAATGCCCGTTTGTCGTATCAATATACTCATCAAGAATATTTGCAGGGTTTGCAACATGATCAAAATTACTGTATTCCATAATTATTATCAACATCACTGGGCTCAGTGATGTTCCTATAGGCTTAACTAGCAGCAGGTCATACTCAATATCTTAATTAGGAATGAGAACATTTTTTTTAATTGCAGTACAGCAGTACCTTTGATTTTATATTATACAATTTAGATGGTTAAACCCCTTCTCCATTTCCCTTCTCCATTCCCGCCCCTGGATATCACATGCACTCCCACCCTCAGGGGCGAATTCAGAGATGTCCGAAAGTGGGGCTGATCGAGTCAACACTACCCTAGGGGGTCCGGGGGCATACCCCTCGAAATACCCTCTGAGGCTTTGTGGCCGATCATTTTTTTGTTCTTTTTCTTTTATTTTCCAAATGGGAGGGGGAGGAGAGGGGCTGGGGCCGGCCCACCCCCTAAATCCGCCTCTTACCCTTGATATTTCCACTCGCTTTCAGGATGTTCCCAGTATTCTCTCCTTGGTATCTTCTCGGTGATGATATTGACAACAATGATCATACCAGGAACGGTTTTGTTTTATACTTCAGCTAATTTGCAAAGAAAATATTTTGAAATTTTATCCAATTAATTATTAATAAACCCAAAGTAAACAATTAAATATTTTATTTTTATTTTTTATTTTTTTCAGCTGAACTTTATATAAGCCGCCCATTTTAAAAGTTATACTGCCACCTATGCCAATAATAGATACAGTACCATACTGCGCTGTATTTCTAAAAAAAATGAAAACGAAAGGTCATAGCATCTCTATACTGAAAATCAAAAAGGGAGAGATATTCAAATAATTATTACACATTCAAGTGGCTGGGAGTGGTGTTTGACAATAAGCTCTTATGGGTGGATCGTATAGTTACGATCACGTGAATCATATAGTTAAAAAATTAAACACCAGACTGTTTTAAAGGAAGTTCGGTTGGTTTGGTATCAATATTTATAGAATGTTTTACTCTTCAGTTACGTATTTCTGTTTATTTTTTGTTGGGCTGGGCCGAAAATATCCAATCAATAAATGAATAATTGAAAGTGTGCTCGGTAGGTTGGGAAAAGTGATTGGTTCGCCTTTGCAGATACTAGACTCATTCTACCACGACTGGCTTGCCAATTTCAGGCTGTCTTTGAGGACGACAATCAGCCATCCCCTCCGTACTGACATCACTGGCTGCCTTATCGTTGGACTTGAGAATGGGGACGGTTGAAGCGCATACGAGACGTTACAAGTACTATATTCGTGCTACTCGCCGGGAATAAAAACTTATGGGACACATTCGACAATTTCTATTGATTCACTTTCCAGTATTGATATTAAAGTACTCTGATACTAAAAAGTGAATGTTTTTTTGCTCTGTGATTTATTTAAAGATGATCGTAATTCTTTTATTTTGTTGTGGTTTTTATCGATTTTTTTTTTATCACAGTTTATATTAATATGAAAACTTCAATCTGTTGATAAAAGAAGCAGATAACCCCAATTTGTCCAATCAGTAGGCCTAATTTTGTTCATATATAACAAACAACGACAGGACGATTTTTACTCAATTGTTTTTACCGATGTCACGTGTTTTTATATTTTTGGGAATTAAATCGCATTTTATTTTCAAGATGTTCATATTCTAAAATGAATACCGTCACAATTGCAACGAAGTTGAACGCCGTAATGCTTAAAAAATAAACCAAAGGATCATTACAAGAACGAAACAGCATGATATGAAATTGTTAACTGTGTTTTACAGTACAGTGACTTAAAAATTAGCATGCGATAGCATCTAGTAACGACAGTCCTCGCCTTGTCTTAACTCTTGATCATAGACTGCCCCCATCTAGAGTGACGAAAGTTGGTTTTGGTGCAGGAGTGTAATATCCGCATATCACTTTGGTTACATACCGTATTCCTAATCGTATGCATAATATAATTATTGCATTATGCATAATATAATTAGTACATTAGGTTAATTAAGTGATGGGTAGATTAACGTGTTAGGAATTAAGTAAACAGAGGTCCCACTGAGTGCAATCATATGGTGCAACATAATCACATTATCCTACGAGAACTTAAAGTGACTCGCAAGTGGACGTCAAAGTAATTTTGGCCGGCATTCATCATCGTAAGCACAGAAATGTACTTACAGAGCTTCCAATTCTCGTTACTGGATCATGGAGGTATAAAATGATGTAGAATGCAACGCGTAGGCATAGGCCTACACGCGTATTAACAAACAAACAGTTTATTATAACAAATTACACAATTTATTATAATTTTGTTATTGCATGTTTATATTTCATTATTATATTATGTTGTAATTAGTATCTTCTTTATGTTAAGTAATGTTTTCCCTTTGTTGTCTAGAGGGCCATTATGGAAACAAGCTTCGGGGTTATAATAGTGTGTTATCCTCCTTCTCTCTTTTCTCTTCTTCCTTTGTGTTATAAAATTTGTATTGAGAGAGCAGTTAATATCAAGCAAACAAACGCAGCTAGTCGCTGACCGCAAATGTAAGCTACCGTAATGGTGTATGTGAAGACATGTCGTCAAGTCTTTAATAATTATAATGATGATGATGATGCAGATGATATGATGGTGATGATAATGATGATGATAATGATAATAATTGTTTGGAAAATGGGTGGGTACAATCATGATGAGCTATATTATAGTAGGCATACATTTATTGTGATAGGCTATTTGAATGAATAATATTTACCTGAACGTAGCTATGAAGACAGATAGAAATGACGTCATAATTAATTTAATTTTAATTATTTTTTGAAAGATCTGATAAAAATGCATTAGAGCAACAGTACGAATGTTAAGCTTGGTTTCCATACAATCGCTACCGGTACACTGTCGCTGCAGTTTTTTTTTTGGTTTTTTTTGGTTTTTTTTTGTCTTTTTTACTGCAGTCGTTGCACTACGTAGCTGTCCCCGACGCAATCGGGAACGCTCCCTGAAGCCTGGCTTCCATAAAATCGCTACACACGGTCACCAACATCTTTGACGATGCTGATTGGTCAGTTGAACCAAGGAGCGTTCCTGCTTGCGTGGGGGACAGCTACGCAGTGCAACGATTGTAGTGAAAACGCTGTAGCTACAGTGTTTTCGTTGCAACCGTTGTGTTGCGTGGCAGTCCCCGACGCAATCGGTAAGGCTCCCTGATTCCACCGTCCAATCACCATCACCGAAAGCTGTGGTGATAGCGTGTAGTGAATGTATGGAAACCAGGCTTCAACTGACCAATCAGCGTCACCAAAATAGTCGGTGATAGCGTGTAGCGATTTTTATGGGAACCAGGCTTTAGGATGTAGTGTGAAAAAAACAAATTTCATATAGATAGGCCAGTAGGCCTATTGTCAGTAAAAAAAATAACACCTCTTAACATATGAAGAATTTTCAATGTCGAATGTTAGGAGTTAAAAAGTCTGACATCAGAATTTTGTAATGGAATCTGTGCTAGGAGATGTATTCATCGACCTGAGGAAAATCACAGGTTTAAAAAATAGTCCTATACTTTGATATTGAAACTTCGTGGTTATCCGTAGACAAACTACGTAGAAATTTTGTGTATGAACAATGTAAATAAAATACGTGCTATTCTATTTAATTACAGATGAGGCACAAGAATTATGATCGAGTTGAAAAGGTAGGTGATTAATGGCTTATGTAATGCGCGTGCGTTGATGATTCCGTGATTGCTATTGTTTGTAGTCAAGCAGCCAGTAGAAAATGACTTGCGACATAGCTCAGATTCGTATATTTATTTCGTCAAAATGTCAGTGCATTATGATAATTGGTTTCCATTGTTAAGGAATACGAATAAGGCTTATTTTTATGGATATGGTGACAGTGTTAAATATTGATTTCATTGAATTGGATTAAAAAGAAAATTGCATATTTGAGTTATAAGAATTATGCTTGAAAGGCCTGTACAAACTTAAGAAAAATACAGAAATGACTTTTTACACATCAAGCCCTAATGATCTACATGCTCTACTCTACAATGACTTACAGCACTGACTTACGGTATCCAGTTTTTCAAAACAATTGACCGAACTCGTTTAATGACAGCATTGTGTTTAATGATGTAATTGTGAAATGTCACCTGTTTTTACGTTACACTGCGATGACAATAGATGTACTAGTTCTATACCGTGCCAGGCTGGTTTAGCATCTTAAAAGTATTTCAAATTGATAATTGACATCTTTAAATAGGCATTTAAGCTATATAAATGATTAAACACCCTAATGAAAATAGATGTATTTAATTTATCTTCTATACTGTACCACTGGTTTAGCATCTTAAAAGTATTACAATGTGATTTTGAAAACATTTCTCATTTTTTTACGTTGTGTCCTTTTATTTTAATTACTCATTTTCTTCATAAAACATAGGCCTATAAGGTTTCAAATAGAATTGAATTATAATTAAAGCTAGAAATTAGCAGCGCAGTTAATCGAGGTAGCCCAAATACATAATTATTTTAAACATAATATGGTGTGGCAATTTTAATTTGATTGATTGATGTTAATAATAAGGTTATGAATCAAAATCAATTTATCATGTAATCAATCAATAAATAATTCTAAATAAAGATTTTGGTAAATTATTTCTAATAAAAGAAGAAGCGTTTTCCAGATAAAAGTCCCAGAAGGAGAAAACAATGATTTAGTCTCGTTCAAATACTTTCCCGCTTAGAAATACACAGACGCGTAGCCTACGTAAAACAATGGGATGGCATATATTGATCAATCAAGGAATCCTAGTTTCCATTAATCGCTTCACACCATCCCCAAAAAGTTTTTTTAGCGACGCTGATTGGTCGGTCTAATCGGGAATAGTACGCAATGTAACGACTATGCTGAGTGAAAACAATTGATAGCGATAATGAAGCGATTTTATGCCGGTGGCGTATCTAGGGGAGCACGCGCGGGGAGGGAACTTCCTCCTTCTACAAAGCTCTTCCCCCATTAAAAATGTTCGAAGCAAAAAAATCACCTTATTTTGCGAGCTAGTGCCCCCCCCCCTGGAAATGACTTAACCTTAATGAATGACGTCAAATCGTGAGAAACATTTATAGACCTACATTATTAAATAATGTTACACATTACGTGGCTTACTTCGATCCTGTCACACGTAATGCCGATTCCTGTTGTTGACGAAAATGACAATTTATTTTGGTTTTAAAGTTAAAATAAAATGTCCTTTCATTCACTCACAAAGCTTGAACGTTGCTTGCTTACCGTCCTTGAATGATTGTTGTACATCTTGGCTATAAAACTACCAAATTGGCCATTATCGTTACTAATTGTCGATGGAAATAGCATTTTAACATAAAGTGAAGATCATTTATGATTTTAAAAAGATGTCTACAGTATTTGTATTTGATCTTAATTGAATGTAAATATAATTTTATCATAATCATTGGTGTCTGGCTTCCGACAGATTTGAAGCATTAATTTTTTCTGTATTTAAATTATGAAATTCCAATAAGACCCCGATCGAACCAATCCTGTTTTCACCGATAGGGAAACTTTTTACTACGAAGATCCATAATTGATTATCGGTACTATTCAATTTAACATTCTACGCAATGAATATAAGAACAAATTATTTATGTGTTTGTTAGTTGTAGAGTAAATAATTATATCTTTATAAATTTTAAATGAAACCCAACCATCAATGCGCTACGGTGTTCAAATATAAAAAGCAATTCTATTTTTGAACATTAGTATGTCTTTAAAATGTCATTCTTTCAGCTTTTTCAGCGTTGTTTGATGAAAGTACTGAATGCCGATTTGTGGAAGTGTTATTTGAACTACGTTCGAGAGACCAAGAGCTCTCTACCATCGTTTCGTGAGAAGATGGCGCAGGCTTACGACTTTGCACTCGATAAAATGGGAATGGATGTGAATTCTTATCAGATATGGGCAGAATACATCACGTTCTTGAAGGGGGTGTAAGTTTTCATATATAACAATGGTGTAACTGTGTTTTCTAAAATATAAGTACCAATTTTAAATGTAGCTTAGTGAGCGTCCCATTTATCGTCTTCTATCTTTTTGTTGACATTCGTTTTGGAGGCTTAGGCCGATATAATTTTTGTAGATTTATATCACTCTTTTGAAATACTGGAAATTATTATTGTCTTTTACTTTCCTATTTTCAATATATCATTAGAGTTATATGGCCATCACTATGTCGTCTTTCTTCTCTCACGTTTTAGTTTTTGACCTTTGGCGAAAATGATATGGTTTTTGTAGGGGGTGGTGCAGGGAGGGGTAGGGGTGATTAAGACCTGTCGGATAGACCAAGCCCGCCCCAACCCACTGTCGGACAGGTCAAGTCTGCCCTATCCTCCCATCGGACACAGATCGTCGGATTTAAAATTTATTGTGAGACGTATTTAAGACTTGGAGCTGTTGTTTGTGGCGTTTATATAGTGCTTGCCTTCCAATACTAGCATTCCTGCTTCAAATCCAGTAAAAATTTGATAAATTAAATTTCAATATTTGTTTTGCAGTGAAGCAGTCGGTTCTTACGCAGAGAACCAGCGAATCACAGCTGTTCGGCGGGTGTACCAGCGGGGTATTGTTAATCCTATGGTCAACATTGATGCTCTTTGGAAAGATTATGTACAATATGAAAATGTAAGTCTTATTAAAAACTATTATTGATATATAACATTATTATTAATATTAGAGGTCTCCCTCTCATTAGAGACTTAAAGTAAAGGCCAATCCCGAATTAACCAATGTCTTTTAGTTTTATTATTCTAATTAGAGTCCAAAGCTGCTAAAGTCCACAGAAACTCCGGTCCCAAAAGTGGTCTTTAATTGGAGGGAGACCTGTACTATCATTCTTATTATTATTTTAGTTTTTGTTTGAATTTCACTTTTTTGACAAGGTTATTTTTACAATAAGCAGAAATAGCATTCATCTCTATGCATGCATCACTGTGCTTGAACAAAACAACATTATTATTTTGCCTTACTTGATTAATTGATTGACTAATTGATTGGTTTTTTTTTTCTTATAGAGCATCAATCCAATTATTGCAAGGAAATTGTTAGAGGATAGAAATAGAGACTACCAGAATGCGAGGAGAGTTGCTAAGGTAACAAAAAAAAAAACATCAAATTATTGCAATTTTTTGTAAAGTATTGTTTTGCTATAATATGGCTCACAGATGATAAATATGTGTTGCAGTGTCTTTATAGAATTAACGAAGTAACGTAAAGTCTATACACACGCGATCACATTCATATTTCCTCACCTATGGTTTGTTCGAATCTAAAGTGTTATTTTTTTTTTTTCAAATATGTTTTGTTTGCCATTGCTTTCCTGCACAGGAATTTGAAGCGAATACAAAAGGTCTGAATCGTAACAACCCTTCGGTACCACCAACAGGAACCCCTGAGGAAGCTAAACAGGTCGAATTATGGAAGAGCTACATTGCCTTTGAAAAGAGCAACCCGCTCCGCACAGAGGACCAAACACTCATCACAAAAAGAGGTAAGTCTGGTTACGCCTGCACAATGCTAATGACTTCTACGAATATTCTGGTGATAGGTTTGATTATCAATGACTAAAGATTTGGGCTTGGAAGGTCATGTGTGTATCATGTCATACATAACAGTCCTTGCATGCTTGCATAGATGAAGATGTGAAAGCCTAAAAGTTTTCTTTTTCTATTTCAAAATTTTTAACCATATTCGTCCGATAAGAGAGGAGCTAGTCTTTGCTGGAATACAGCAATTGCATTTCTTAAGATTATGTGTTGTCTAAAATTAAACACCTTTTTTTTTATTATAGTTATGTTTGCTTATGAACAAACTTTACTTTGTCTTGGACACCATCCTGATATCTGGTATGAGGCTGCACTCTATTTGGAGAACTCAAGCAAGATATTTGCAGAGAAAGGAGTAAGTTACTGTGTTTGTTCAACACACAACACAAATAACAATACCAATGCCAACTTTAACCTATTACCAATGGAAACTGGGTAAAATTTTGCTTGCAACTTGCTACACAGAAAAACAGGTTTAGGAAACAATAAATAATATGGTGTCAAGCTTTGGAATGATCAATTTTGTTTTGCAAGCCTAAATTTAGAAATAGACAATATGTTTGTTGAAAAAATATTTACCGGAATCCTGCAGGATTGCTTTTTATAATATCCAGAAGGATTACCTTGCTGAGTTACAAATCTATAAAAAAAAAAAATAATACATAGACCAAAAGAAATATAAACATATACAACAGAAAAAAAATAGTTCTTATAAAAATTACCAAAACCAGTTCACACCTCATTTGAATTATATTCTATTGACCTTATTTATTAATCTCATGACCTTAAAAAATGTTATGTTTTTTTTTAGGATATGAACAATGCAAAGGTTTTCAGTGATGAGGCTGCAGCCATCTACGAAAGAGCCATTACTACTCTACTGAAGAACAACATGCTGCTCTACTTTGCATATGCAGATTTTGAAGAGGTATGCAAATCAACTCTTCATGGTTTTCTTTGTTATTTATGCAATTTAAGTGCGACATATTGTTAATAGTGATTTCCCTTTTGTAACTATTTGTAAATGGAGCATACTTAATGTAACCAGGGATCTTTAGTTATTTAACGACTGGGGGTTCAAGAAGTCCAACAGTGTCTGCCTAGAATCTCGGTCAGAGTAAAATTCCTGTTTGGGTTCATATGGATTAGAATGGTCAAAAATTGTTCTTTTAGATTGTTATGATCATCATCATTATGATTAAAATGTAGAAACACAACTCAACACATATGAAAGAGTCAGCTCTGGCATAATGCATTGACGTATCCTTCTTTCTATTTAAAAAAAAAAAAAAAATTGGGATTGATTTTACAAGAAATTATTGATTTGATTACAGGCACGAATGAAGTATGATAAAGTTCACAATATCTACAAGAGGTTTCTGTCTATTGAAGAAATTGATCCTACATTGGTAAGTCTAACATGTCAGCAAATCCACTTGAAAGTGTGATTGATAATCTCACAAATTTTATCATAGTTAGTCACGTTTGTTTACATTTTCAACACACATTTATTGGTTAACATTCTGTTGTCGCATTAAGATTTAGTTTGATTTAAGAGTAGGAAGTGGGAGTATAATTTCTAATCCGTGATTACAAACAATTTTATTGTGAACCTAACAAAAGTCATGACACCAATTTTCTGAACTGTCAATATAAATAATTGTTGAATATACATTTGGCTTTTTAGAAATGTTGGAGAATTATTATTATAGATGATTATTATTATTATATGAACTCGGAAGAAATGGTAATATATTTGTATATATGTATATATATATCTGTACATGAAGTTTGGCAGGAGAGCAGAGGGAATCAAATCTGCTCGCGGCATATTTAAGAAAGCACGAGAGGACTCCCGCTCACAGTATCACGTCTATGTAGCTGCTGCTTTGATGGAGTATTACTGTAGTAAAGTAAGCCTAAATTTGTGTTGTGTTGAATATTCTTCATGACAAAAATTTAAATTAATTAAAGCAGACAAATAATATATGAATATGCAAATTAGTAAATTCTTTTTATATTCGTTTTCCCTTTTTTGAAAATATAAGAATATAAATTAATAAGAACAATTCATCAGGAAATTAACAAAGTGGACAATCACCATTAGTAGAATGCCATTTTGAATGAATATCTAGAGCTTAGACAATACAGCTACTATTTTATGTAATTATCTTTCATCTTTTCTCCTTGGTTGAAATTCTGTAACGGCCTTTGTTTGAATTGCAGGACTCTAAGGTAGCATTCAAGATCTTCGAGCTAGGCCTTAAAAAGTATGGCCACATCCCAGAGTATGTCCTAACGTACCTGGATTATCTGTCACATTTGAACGGTAGGTGTGAAGAACCTCAAATGATAGTCTCGTCATGGTCTCATATACATAACCTATGATTAAAATGGCCCTCTGCAAGATTGATGGTTCTATGTCTAGTATTTAACATTATATTGTAGGTTTATAATTGCATTATTTAATAAATACATGTTATATTAGAAAGTGAATGTCTAGAAAAAAAACTGAATTATGTATATATTTTTCTGCATTTTTATTATACCAAGAATTTTCAAAAAATTATTTGAAGAGTATAATGTGTATTTTTGATGTAATTTGATATTTTCCATCCATGGTGTTTCCCTTAGTTTGGACCTCGAGTCTGTGGATCCCGTCCGTTTGCACCTGTTTTCTTATGTTTAATTATTCTGTTTTTGTGATGTTTTTAATGAGACACAATAAAATAAATAAAGAAACAAGATATTTATTAAAGTTGTGTTCCGTCTCTTTACAGAGGACAACAACACTAGAGTACTCTTTGAGAGGGTATTGACATCAGGATCATTACCGATGGAGAAGTCAGGGTAAATTCAATAATTGAATTTTAAATTAATTTTTCAGAAAAATAGATTGTCTTTTATTTGGATTATGTAACTCTCAATATTTATCAATAACAGTTGAATATGAATAAATATACTTTCAAATAAATAATAATTATACATATATACCACTGGCTCAAAAGAGCTGCATGCAAGTAATTTCCGTTTAGTACACTGAAGATTTGTCATAACCTCACTATCAAGATGTACAGAATGTGATAAAGCACAGAAGTTTGTCCCATGAAACCAGAGAATGTTGGCATGAGCTATAATCACTACAATGAGCCAATTTGTAGTTAGAACTGCGCATGCTTGTATAAAGGTCAGTTGATATAAACGCCATTCACACAACATAGGTGTATCTTATCTTGATTGACCTCTATTAACAAGCGCCGATGTAAGGCTGTAGCTAGCAGCGCCCCTGCCTTACCACTTGACCACTCGACTCGCCCCTAATAATTATAATATTAATGCAAGAATATTTGCAAGAATATTTGCATTTTTTAAAGTTTTTAATGATACCGATTCTGTTTGTTTCTTTTCCCATTATTATTATTCAGTGAGATTTGGCTGCGCTTCGAAGACTTTGAATCAATGTGTGGTGACCTCTCCAGTATACTGAAAGTGGAGAGAAGACGATTTCAAAACTTTGTGGATGTGAGTTTACTCTCAGCTTCGTTGCCAGACATTCAACTTACTTCTTTCTCTTTTTTCCACATTCGTTTATTGTGTTCCATTGCAAAATCAATACCATGACCATCAGTACAGCTGAATTAGTGTGTATGGTATATGAATTGCACGTATACAGATGATGAGGTTGAACATTGTGATGGTGGAAATGCTTGTGATTTCCTGTAGAAAAAGATGTTTATGTTGGTAAAGCAAGCAGGAGATTAACATAACCAATTGAGAATTAATGTTTGCGTGGTGTTAGCTGAGGTGGTAATACTTGATGATATGCAGAGCTTAAAATTCAAGTCCAAATTTATGAAATAATCAGCCATTTAAAGCATTCACAGTTCATGTTATATGTAGCACATGCATTATTTGGTATATAATGGCATACTGTACTAAACAATTTGATTTGACGTTTGTTTTGTATTTACTATTAAACAGGAGTTCAAAGACAGGGAGACTGCACTCCTGATTGACCGGTACCGCTACCTTGATCTGTACCCCTGCTCTCCCAGTGAATTAAAAGCTCTTGGTTACAGGGTAAAGTTTCATTTATTCTATCAATATTGTATTCTATACATATGTCTGTATATATACCACTATAAACATGAAAGTATACGTTAAACTCGCAGAACATTTAAATTCACAAAATACATACTGTAAATATACTAACTAAACTTTTGTACTACGGACATACCGAAAAACCTTGGATAGAAGCACAATGGGCTTAATTTCGAGAAGAAGCACAATGGGCTTAATCTCGAGAAGAAGCCCATCTCGAATTAAAGGCCTCTCTTTAGTTTGCAAAATTAGCCTCGAAAAGAAGCCCATAGCATAGGCTTCTTTTCGAGATAGTACAGTATATACACTGTACATGAATTTCAAAGAAACAAAATATTGTAAATTCAAAACACACTTGCTTTATACGGTAGTTTAGTGATTTAATTCTGGTTAATACACTCCATGATACAGAATGATGTTACAGTGGCCCTATTTTTTAGTTGTATACTAGTAATTCCCAAAATTTACAGCATCCATTTTGAAATTAAGCCTACCTGCCCCCTCTATACTTTGCAAAAAAAAGCCCATCTCGAAAATAAGCCCATCCAATGTTCGCAAAAAAAAAACCCAGGGCTTTTATTCGAGGTTTTACGGTATGGTAAGGTATCACATACTACATCTACATTATTAATAAATATACTTTCTGTAATGAGTTAATACAATAAACATTTTTTTGTTGATTTAAAGACATTTTACTACGTCCTTAATTTCATTACCTAAATCAGGTAATTTAAGAGTATATGTAAACGAATATAGAAACAATTTGTTTGATTGTCAAATGTCAAGAGAAAAAATGTTGTTTTATTTTAAATAGACGTGTAGTAGAAATTTATTTTCAAGGGATTTTTTTATTTAAAAAATTATATAAAATTAGTAAAATTTTCTCATCCTTTAGGATCTTATCAAAAGAAGTCCAGTTACTCAGATCTCAAGGCATCTCAAAAACCCAGATGCCTCTTCTTCCACTTTGACAGAAAACATGGAAGAACTATCGGAAGAAAGAAAGAAGCCAGAATATCCGAAACCTGACTTATCTCAGATGTTGGCTTTCAAGCCAAAGGCATTTGCACGTAAGTTAACCATATCACTGATCTGCCAGATTATTATGACTATATCGTTTTCATGAGAGATGATTTTGTATTAGCCGGCAGTCATGATCTTTGTAATTCCAGTTTATTTTGGACAATAAAGACATCTGTATATGTATTACAAAACTAATATTTCAACCAAAAAATGTACAGTATATATAGAAAGTAGACATGTATAATAATCTGAAGCATTACAAAATTATAATTCTCTCAAACTCAGAAAGATTGACATTTCAATCATAGAGTTGTAAAGAAGCATAAAGAATGCAGCCTGTATACTTGTAATTTTAGTAATTGTGACTAAAAATATTGCTTGATCAATAAAATAAAGACATAGCATTCATGGGCTGAATTGTGAATTAAATGTACACAAATAATTATAAGCATAGTAAAATCCATTTTTCAATTATTAAAGAGAAAGATAAAGACTTAATTTGGTGTGGTTTATTTTAGCTGTCGGTTCTCATGTCGTTCCTGGTGGTGTCTTCCCTCCTCCTCCAGTTGCATCATATGTTATGTCATTACTTCCTCCGCCAACATCTTTTCAAGTAAGTATTGAATATATTATATATCTACCGTATGTGGTTAAATATGGACAATACCTCAGCATTTAAAGTTCAATTTACAACTTCCAATATTTAAGTTTTCATTGATTTACAGACGTTGCACTGCAAAACTCCATTGATTACCAGCCAGTTTATGGTTATATGGAAAATAATTTATATCTTTATTTTAATATTGGTCTGTTAAGTGGTGATGACATTCTTTCATTCTAATTAATTTAAAAAGATAATAAAATAAGGAGGTCAAATATATAAATTTAATTTTGATTAGCTCACTACAAACTTTAATATCCATTCTTGAGAACCAATAGTATAAATTTGCAGTACACCTCATAAACACTTCTGAAATGAACTAATGTGGGGAGCAATCTATTCAAGTATTTGAGATACAATCAACACACCAGATCTTCTCTGAACTATTTACTTGGTGTACCGCAAATTTATATTACTGTTTTTCCACTATGTGAACCTTTATATTTAAACATTTTCAAATTGTTATAATTATTGTTATATTATATTGTTTCATTTATTTGCATAAGCATGTTTAAAGTAGGAGATACCATTAGGAATGATACAAGAAGTCTCATTTTATGGACTATTAAATTATTAAAATTTATTACATGCCATTCTTTTTTTTTTCTGTTCAATTTATTGACATATACAAAGTGAGAGTTCTGTTCCAAATAAGCAACTTGGTTGGATGAATTTCCCCTATTAAACTTGTATGTGATTTATAAACATTACACTTTCTGTAATGTAATTTCTGTAATGCTTTTAGGGACCGTTTGTGAGAGTAGATGACCTGATGCGAATGGTCTCAGAATGTCAGTTAACAGAACGTAAGTTGAAATTGGACCATATTTTTAAGTACTTTAGTACCTACTTAAGCTACAAAGCCCAGGTTTCTATGATTATGAAGTACTTTAAATTTATATGTAACATCCTAATCCAGAGGCAACAGAACTAGAGTGATGTGGGTGACAATACATAAATGAGCATGGCACATTTAGGTGGGAGTGAAAAGATGGGATAGATGAAATTTAGTTGAGGCAGGTAAAGTTGTAGTGCTTGTGGGTGAGGAATATTGGATGCATGGTTTGTGGGGGAGGAATTGCATGAAGATTATTTGCATCTAGAATACTATGGTAGCATTAATTTTTTTAAATTTGATACTCCTAGCATCCATGGAACAAATATCAAATGGGCAAATGAAAGACGGTAAGGACACGGCATCGCAAGAAAATGAATTAAAGAGGAAAAGGAAGCGTGATGGAACTAAAAATCAAAACGAGGAGTCTGATGAAGAAGATCATGTTACACAAGCCGTCCCAGTACACGATATTTACCGCAGCAGGCAACAAAAAAGGGTCAAATAGAGAATAATGTGCAAATGATTGTACACACGATTGCACACGTGGTATTGGTGGTGTAGTTATTTGTCTGTAGGCCAATAATGGTGCTTTAACGTGTCAGTCTTGCAAAGTCAGATGATCATTTATGGATTGATGCTCAACAATTGACCTTTCCGCTAAGCCCCGCCCCTTGGATATTGTTGCTAAGAAACAAGAAACGAAAGTGTTCAAACATTGTGGGACAACATGTGTGCTTGTTAGACGCGCGTGTTCCTGGCCCTCTTCTGGTTGGTCAGTTAAGTTTGATTGACGGAGAGGTCCATTACACCTTAGCTGTGAATATCATGAATTTTTATTTTTAAATTGCGATATAAGCTCTTGAACATTAATATCTCTTATCCATATTTCTAGCAATAGTCAGCAATTTGAACTGATGATTCGTTACTATATTTGGATTTTTTAAGTTTCGTTTTTGCAACATTGCTCCTGCAAAGATATTTCTTGAGCCGCAAATACATGATACAGTATGTACATATACTTATGATTCTTAAGTATCCTTTGCCTTTAGTTTCATGTGGTAAAACATCAAAAAGGGATGTCGTTGTTCAGTTGTCATACTACGTTTTGTAAGAAATAAAATGAATAAAGTTTATTCAGGACGTTGAATTTGTCTCCATCGTTTTTTAATCCAATTTTGATATTTATCATATTTAAATTTTAAAAAACATCTTAGTATTATAGTTACATAATATAAACATGGAGAAAATATAAACAATTACCATTACTTTTCAGTCTCAATGCATGGCAAACATATAATCTGGCATTAGTCTAACGCGCGTACTAAATCCTAATTACTTTATAGAATAGTCAATCCAAAGTAGCCATCGTTGTGCAAGATAGTAAAACATGAAAAGCTCCAAACAAATGCTTAAATCAACAATTTTGGATGACATTTATAAAGAAAAAAAATTTGCCAAGCCAAGCACGACACAATCTAGTATTTGTTATGACAGGAGTCTCGTTTGTTCAGGTCATGCCACAATACTTAAACAAAATATGCGAGAAGTTTGGTTTTTAATGAAACTATATTGATCAATTATCTATCCATCTCAAAGTCTGAGACTGTGCGAACAATTTTGCACTAGGTGCATGTAGTATGTCATGATATAAGTACAATTTAGGCAGTGTTTACGCAGCACTTACAATTTCTCCGATAATTTCTCCAATAAACTATCTTAATTCGCAAATCTTGACACGACTCAAAAAGAGTACAATAATTGTTTCACATCCTGTAAAGCTGCAAATTTCAAACCCCAAAAAGGGATCAATTCGTCAAACAGTAACTATAGGCCAAAAGTCATTACCACTGACTTGTGCTATTTTTGAGTTGTGTTTAAAAACTTTACACACACACACACACGTCAGGAGTGATTAGAATCGTCCCATAGGCAAGCTTACGAAAACGATAACGAATATGGTTACGTCATCAAATGTTTAGACAACCCTTCCCTTACAATAGCATATCTATATCAACTCGTAGGTGTCATGCCTTTTGCATGAACCAAGGATCATATTCAATTTGTTCAGCATATTGTGAAGAAATGTTTTAGGCTCGAATGACGAGAATGATGATGATAATAATGATAATGATGATAATGATGACGATAATGATAATGATGATAATGATAATGACGTATTCCTTATCGTTTTCGTAAGGTTGCAAAATCTCCCTAGTGTAGAGATTAATAAGGTAAATGTTACATAACGCTAAGCCTTAAAGCGCTCATATACTGCCTTGGTTCATATTTTACACAACACTAATCACAAGAAATAAAATCAGAAACAACATCTTAAATATTATGTATATTATGTAATATTATACAATATAATATCAATAATCTTCCTTAAATTTTATATACAATCAAAATAAAATTTTGAATCCTTATTCTAATTTTTATCAATATTACTGTATGTTATATATCATACCTGATCTTCATCATGCAACTTTTTTTCATTTCTGAATTTTATGACCTTGAATTAGTTCTTCATATTCGGAGTTAGTGAACAAATTGAAAAGTGTAGTTAAAAAAATAAACTGCTACTGTAGGTCTGACCCTTGCATAAACCTCTTGTCAGCTTGGTAAAACACTTAAAATAACATTACATAGAAGTACAATGTAAAAGGAAAACAATTCGTTATAACATGAAACCACATCCTAAACAATGATTGTAATTGCCGTTCCTAAAGTACATGTTCCATCTTTTTACAATAGAGTTACGGCCACTATTAATTTCATTTAGGTCTGCATGGCGCTTCATACCATTATGTTGTGAGCTTCTTTTAAAGAGGTTGTGACACTTAATTTTGTTTTTAAATTGATATAAGTCATTTTTAATAATTACTGAATATTAAATCAGAGAAACCATAGATCCTTATCAGAAATGAAGCTGTAGCTACTTCAATCTCCTTAGGAAGTAAAAACATTAAACTATGTTTTTTCCTGTTTTTCAAAAAGCTAAGTGACAAAATTGCCACACAGAAAACTGTGTGCAACGTTGATAAACAAACAAAATTTTTTTTTTTTGCGTTAGCAAAAAAATACTTGAAATATGAAATATCTTCAGAAAAACACATATTCTAATTATTGTCATATTATTTGACAAAGAATGGACCTTTCCCGAAGTGTCAATCGATCTTAACAACTGACCAATCAGGACCAGGGATATGTGTTATGTGTAGTCCCACAAACTCACATGTTTATGCACACTTACATTATTGTTTTGTGGGAACTTACCAACAATTCCCAAGAAGCAGAGATTAGTGGATGTTTGAGGATAATCTAATCGCTGAAGTCAGCAGAGTCATCAGTACTGCCTTGATCCACTTCATCATCGCTGAAGTCTGTGTCACCTGATTGCTGAGATGTGATTGGTGGTGCTGGAGCATCCGGTGTGCTTCATTAAGAAAATGATATCATGTCACCAAGAATACAAGATGATTTACTGTTCTATTAATAGAATTTTTTTTAACTACATACAATAATTTATTTTAGACATACTGAGTAATACTCATATCCACTTAATATAACATATTATTTCTATCTATTCCACAAGAAAAGGAATTCAAGCCCCATCATGTGCATTTGTACAGAAAAAAAAACCACAACTGTAAATTACAAAAAAAGAATGCTAATTTTCACTAACTAAGCTTTGTCAAACTGATGGCAGATATATTAATGCTGATGCTAGTATATATATTCAAAATATGACATCAGCGTCCATAATTCATTGAACCATACTTACTCTAACAAATCTGGATTGAGCCCTTCCAATCGTGCTTTCTGTCTCAGAGCTGCAGCAGGGACACCCTACATGTGTAAGTACATATATATTTTTAATATCAGCAATTTAATACACTTAATGTATAATTAGGACTATAATACAAAAAACTAATTATGTTACCTGGCATTTACATTTTGCTCTTCAAATTTGTATCTCAACCAAGATTCAGACATTGTTGATATTTAGAATTTTGAAATTAACTTTTATAATAACAACAATAACAGCAATAATAATAATAACAATAATAATAATAACAATAATAATAATAATAATAATAATAATAATAATAATAATAATAATAATAATAATAATAATAACAATAATAATAATAACAATAATAATAATAATAATAATAATAATAATAATATAACAATAATGATTCAGCATGCAAGATACATGTTTTGTTTTTTTTTCCTAATGACTCTACATAAGCCAACCCAACTTAGCTTACCATATTAATCATCTTGAAAAATTTTGCATAACGCTTATCTTGAGAGACAGTAATCACTGCAGAAGCAGACGGTTCTGTCACACCCTGAAATGAAGGAAAATAATTTTTTTATCATTTAAACAGAAACTGTGTGCTAATTATTTTTAATTTGAAAATATATTTATGGCTAATCCAAGTTGGCTAATTATTTTTTTACCAAATTACCCAAATTACTAAACATTATGTTTGGCCAGCTTAACCCTGCCAAATTCAGCATACAGAATTTTGAAAAAAACATTAATGATACCCAATGAGAACTAAAAATTTTGAAGTATTAGTTGTTTACTAAAAATGATCATCATCATCACTACCACCAAACAACATATTGTTGTTGGAAAGGATAGTAAACAGGGGCCGGATAAGTTCATCTTAAGTCCATTTTTTTGCTTAAGTCAAATTTATCACTATTGCCTCAACTTAAAAAGTCGATTGTACGCATGAACCATCTAAAGCGATTTTAAGCTGCGATTTTAAGCTAAGATTTTGCTAAGATGGTTTGATAAAGAATCTTTAGATATTTGCTTAGGGACTTCTAAACTTTTTTGACTTAAAACATTTGCTAAGCTGAGATTGATAAATCCTGGGCCAGGACTGCTGTTGTGTTTAGTGTGATTAAATATTATTGACAAATGTACCTATAATGCTCAAAAACAGCATGTAAGTGAGGTAATGAATACCTACAGGGGTTTCGGCAGCAGGTAATGCTGGCAAAGTAGTAGTTCCACTTGAGGAGGGTTCATCATCTGCAATTGCAGTAATTACTTGAGATGTATCAACGTCTTCTAGCCACGGTATTGATGCCAATTTTGCTTCTAACAAATTCATTGTGGTTTCAAGATGCTGAATTCGTAAATTCAAATCTGATAATTTCTGCTCACAAACACATGAAAATCTGTTCAGGAATCTTGTTGTGTGTGACACAAAGTGATTAAGGAATGCCAACATTCTCTTGGGGTGAATTGCACCGACCTGTTAAAAAATAACGATCATTCTTATAAAAGGATTACGCCATATACAGTATGTCTTTACATGAATATTATTGTAATTTTTTTTTTTTGTGTCGTTCTTAATTTAATGAAATACCATGTATGATGCCAATAATATTCCTTAGTTTTTCAAAAGACTTTAAATTTTCTTTTATTTTGTAGTATCAACTAACTACACCACTAGCCCAACATTTTTTTTTGTCATCAAGTAGTTGTCAACATTGTAATTAGCCACTGACCAAGCAAACTTTCTCATGAAAATACTACAGTGTTACTGAACTCTTAAAACGAAAATCTTTCTTATCTCAAAATGACATACATTACCACATCAAAAGACAAGTCACATAAACAACACTATTACTAAACAACAGGCACTGTGTGAGTGCCTGTATGATTTTACGTCGTCTCCTATATAGACCCTACCTAACCTAGGTTTATCTAGGCTGTACTTAGCAGTGTAGTACTGTAGTAGTCAAGTCAAGATCATAGAATAGATAGACCTAGATCAAGATGGACGATATTTATATTGATATGTATATAGGCTCCAGGCCCAGTGCTGTCCCAAATATTCTTTATGACGACTGTATTATTTAGGCCTTACAGTATAAAAATATTATTAGTTTATCACCCTATCTACAGAAGGCTGGAAAAGTGATGAGGCTTTTTTTTTTTTTTTTTTGCTGAAGCCAAATATCACCCCTGTTGTTTACTGGTGCATTGATATTCAAAGTAAAACACTATTGAGATAATAGAAACAATATCTACTATTTAACAAAAAAAAAAAAAACCTTTTTCAATTTTTGTTTTTCAGTACCATAGAAAACATGCGCGAGAGGATGTAAAACTAATAATGTCTTTTTTATTGGACCATAGTTTTATTCAAATAGTTAGAAGAGGCCCTCTAGGCCTAGTCTTGAAATAGTATCAAATAATTTGGCCTATGCATGGGCTAGCCTAGCTTAGCCTTATTAGACAGCAGTAAGTAGGCTAGGAACTCTTTTAACTTAGCCTAGTTGTAGGCACCTAGCCTACGGCCCTAGCTGGCCTGGCTGGTGGCCTAGCCTAGGCCTACGTAGGCTAAGTAGGCCCTACCACTTACTAGCCTCCTTAGCCAGCCTAAGCCTCCCCTTGCTAGCTAGCCTACTAGGCCTGGCCAGGTGTGGTGGTAGGTAAGCCTAGCCTAGCCCTACTTAAAATGTGATTAAATACATAAATTTTTACATTCGTCAGTAATATACAAATAGTATCACCTTAGACAAATCTACACCAGGCCCAACCAGAGGTAATCCATCGGCGTCCATTTTAAACGATTTATTTTGATATCCCAGTTACAACCCTTGTCGTCTTCGTGTGTGGTGTGCGAGAGGGCAGGCAGCCAGCCGAAGGAATGTTGTTTTCGTGCCGTATTTTGAAAGTGCGTCAGTTTATTTCCACGACGCGTTACCATGAAATTAATGCGTTAACACAGAAAATGCCATTGCTTTGAATTTGCACTCACCAGTCCATGACATCGGAAGGAAATGCTTTCCTGGCTGGCGTTGCAAGTCCTATCTTTTTATTCACAGACACCTATGAACCTCAATTAAAATATTATTCAAGATTCAAGAAATTTTATTGATCTATATAAAAATTCAGAAAATTGAATTTCTTGGCAGATGAGTATAAAAAATATAATAAATATCAATACAGTACAATGCCAAAATTTACAAAAAGAAAACAACTTTATAATACTAATAAAAACATACACTGCAACATGAAAATATAATGGAAATCTGTAAAAATGTCTAACATTATTAAAAAACCAGGTGTTGAAAATGATATTTTAAAAAGTTAAAACCTTAAAATGTCTTAACATTATTTAAAACATTAAAAAGTCAAAACTATTAAAACACTTTTATTATTCAAAACATGTTTAAGAATCGAATGACCAGTGAGTCAGGCAGTGGCGGCGCCAACGGGGTGGCAGGGGGCTTAAGCCCCTCCCCTCACCGGACAGGTCAAGCCCCCCCCCCCGCCGGACAGAGCTCGTCGGGCAGTCAGACCATAAAACATATAAAAATAGGCCCACAACAAGCCAACACATGTCTGTCACAGTCTGAGAGTGCCATTTTCGGCTATCTAGAGGTTGATATTTCTTTTTAAAAAATCTCATCTGGGAGGGGCTTCCCAACCCCTTCTCCCAGCTCGAGCCTACGAGCTCAAGTCCCCCCTATCAGACAACTTAGCCCCCCCAGAAAATATATCCTAGAGCCGTCTCCGTCTTCTATGATTCTTTGTGTCCCTCCGAGCAAACCACACAAAGTCTGTGCGACCATAGAGGAAGTTGCAGTGACAAAGATAATAATGTAAATAATTTATAATGTATGAAAACACAATCACATTATATGCGTTGTTTGTTTAACGCGTTGATGACGCGTTAATGCACGAACGCCAGTAGTTTCTACCATCATGTGATAAGCTGTCTCTAAAATAATGCCCTGATGCCACAACCGTTTTTTTCATTCCAAACTGAGTGGTGAATGTCATTTTAAAACGATCCGTTGCGGTGCCCTTCTGTAGGCGTAATGATTGCTTGGCAAAATGGTTTGTATATGTTTAATTTAGGAGTGATTGATTTTTTAGTGTAACTGTATTATTTTAATCAAATAATTTCTATGCTCAAGTTAATAATTTGTATGTTACTGAAAAATGATTTTTATGATTTTGGTCATTTTCAAGGGACAGTACATCTTAAATTTTACAGAGCTTTCGTTTAGAACAAATACAATGCATTATTGTCAAAATTAATAGACAGCTTGTTATCAGTGAACCAATCATTGCAGTTGCTTAAAGCTTCGCCAAGCGTACGAGAAATAATCTCGGGATCAGAGTGAGAAAAAGTAACCATACTGTCATCAGCATAATAAAAGTAAAAGTATAAAGTAAAAGTTTACAGTCACTAGCAATACTCTTAGCAATACTAAGTTCTAATTCGTTAACATAGCATAAGAATAGTAGCGGCACAAAAGGATAGGTCTACTTCCCTGAGGCACGCCTGAGTTGATGTAAAGAGGTTTAGAATTGACATTTTCTAGGTTGACGATCTGCTTTCTGTTAACCAAATAAGACCTGAAAGATTCAAATGAGTCAAAGCTCATTTGCTCTAATTGTTGCAGAGGATTCGTGGTCAACGGTGTCAAATGCCTTACTCAAGCCCATAGACAATACAACCAGTAAATAGACCACGAGACATGTTTAATTTAATATTTTCCATAAGGGGAATAAGGGCAGATTGAGTTGAGAAGTTCGGTCTAAAACCAGATTGTAATTCGAAGTTCATTTTTATCAAGAAAATCTTTAACCTGTTTATAAGCAGATCTTTCTAATATCTAACCGTGCTGAGAATGCTAATAGGACGATAGTTTTCTGGGCTTGAACGACATTTCTTCTTAATAGAGGTTTAGATCAACAGGAACAGTAGATGTGGAGATAGATAAATTAAATAAGATGTGATATTGGTACTGCGAAAGCAGAACCACCATCTCTTATGAACCTAGCGGGTATGTCGTCTAGGCCAGCACTCTTGTCGATAAAACGCCTTTTCAACTCAGATTCAACAAATTCCAAGCTTACAGGCTTAAGACAAAAACGGTATTTACACTTTGATGTATAAAATGTGTGAAATAATTGAGAGCAAATTGAATAAATTTGTTTACATGGAGGTAATTTGTTCATAAGATTTGTAGCTACTTCTGTGAAGAATTTATTACTTGGTATTCATTTTTATAGGTGAAAATATGTGTTTACTGTTGACGTCTATTACGAAATACTGGATTCACTTTCGGATTTATTGGAGTATCAAATATTTTTTAAGTGATACCATATTTTTTTAGTATTGTTTTTGGATTCTTCGATTTTATTAGTGGAATAGTTTTCCTTGGCTTTATGAATATCTCTTTGGACATTATTTCTTAATTTACGGTGCATGTGATACAAATTTCTTTACCTTCATTTCTTTTTAAATTTTCTTAATAATTTGTCTATTAGCCTAATATCATGGAGAATTTCTGAATTAAACCACGGTTGCGATGTCTATTTAACCCTTATTTCTCTATAAGGAGCAAAAGTATCTAGTGTTGATAAAAATGCATCTTTGAACTTAAGCTATGCTTCATTAACCTCTATACAATCAGTAACAAAATTCCAATTAAACTCCTCTAATTTAGAGACAAAAATTTCAGGAAAATAACCTTTGGAGACCACACTTTTATATTCCTGTAGGAAGAATAATTATTTTTTTAGTACAGAAAGTGAGTAAATGGTTACTCAGACCAGTATAGATATCTCCTGAGTCTGATATTTTATGCTACAGCAAATACTGTATGGTCAATGCATGAAGAAGAATGTTTTCCTACTCAAGTCTCTTCTTTGATAAGGTGTTGAAGACCATGTAGTTCCAACCAAAGAAATTCGGTCTTTTTGTTCATGAGATCGTCTCTGTTTGAGAATGCACGTTTTTCTTTCACGCAGGTGCAAACTCCACCGCCCTCTCGATTTTTATCATTTCTCACAATAGTGTAGCCTTCTATTTTAACTTCTTCGTCAGAAACAGAACTATCTCAATGGCGGATCTGCAGGGGGAGCGGGTAAAAAAAATACAATAAATATAATTTCAAATATTATGTCTAGACCCCTACCTTTTCAGGACCCGTGACATGATATTTTTTGGGACAATGGGAAAATTAGTCAGGAAAGCTCATTCTCGCCATCTAGGAACCAACATTTTCTCGGGGGAGGACCCCAACCCCCTTTTTTAAGTCTAAAAATACATAGATTTATATACTTATTATATTGTTTTAAGCCTTTTAGGATTAATAGGCTTAAAGGTAGCTAACATTTTAGGTCCACTTTACTGTCTACTAGGCCCTAGGCTGCAGAAATATCAGCCTGCAATTGCCCAAGCTAGGGGTGGCCTTTCACTCCACTACGGCTCTAGACTCTTATGAGTCTTCTTTACCTGCATTATCATGCCTGTGGCAGACACCACAATAAACAGTCAATGCAATCCATTGGAATTAAGTCAAACCTTGTAATGGCATCGCTCCCGTTTTCGTTTATTTTTGTTTAAGCCCTGGTGATTTTGTTTAATTGAATCTCTATTGATTGTTTTCATTTAATTTTATATTAATACTGTTCAATTTTATATAAGACCTTTTTTCAAAATGATGCGGAATTATATTAAATTACATAAGTCAAAGTCAAAATGAAAGATTGGATAGCTCAATTGTGCCTCAGTCATAGGTTGAAAATAGTAGTACTAAGCGGTAAGATGGGCTTTAACATTATAATGTTAAGATTGTCTAGACCATCACAAGTGTCCAGAGTACCTTCATTGTACAAAATCTGACGGTTTGGTTATGCAGAGAAGACAATATCTCATACAGATAAACACAAACAAATAAAAACAAAAACCAAGATAGAATGGATTTGGTTTCTTATTTAATTTGAACTTGGAAAATGTGATGATATACAGCGATCAAAAGAGAAACAATTTTAAAATACTATGCGGTCCAGGTACTTATTATTGCCTCGATATCACCATCTTTCTTTTTCGTTTAATATGTAGCAAAAGTGAACAAGTAACTGTTGTGAATATTAGCCATGTTAAAGATCGTATCACTTTATAAGTACAATCATATTCTGTAAATTGAGATGTGGTTTTGTTTGGAAAAGTTGTTATATTATAAGCAAAGAAAACATTATTAGTTGAGAAAAGATTTGTCATCCGTGAAATGCAATTATTTTTGCCTTAACAAAGCCACAGACTTACTTTATTAGAGAGAAGTATGGGTCGCCTAAGGTTTAATGTTGCCATCTTCAGCTTATATTACTTATCACGAGAACCGTTTTATATATACAATCTTTCCTCCTGCTCGAAGATGGTAATTTTAGAAGACTGGTTTTATGAGAAAATATATACAATATGTAATGTAACTCTGCATCCTTTCACATTTTGAGAGATGAAACAATTCCTTTACATCTCTCCCCAACTTTTTCTTTTATACTCATGAGTGCAAACGTACGGCTCCTTTATTTTCAATTATCTGGACACCACATGCTGTTTACTGTTCTGCAAGAGGAAATCATAAAATAAATGTTGTTATTATATATGCATCAACAATATTCATGTATTAGAATGAGTACAGTATTTTATCCTGCAATAATGAAGTATTTAACATAAAAATAACGCTAAAAAGAAAATATCGACGTTTCGACTCCTTCATGGTGTCATTTTCAAGATCAAATGATGAAGTAAAAAATATACAGCAACTATAATCAATAGAAAAAAGCTAATCTTTTTAGCGTTATTTTTATGTTAAACATTTATACAAAACGTACTCTTATTAATAATGAAGTAAAACGAATAATTTCTATTAGGCTTCATTACTGTTCATCCATGTGTTCTCCGTCTTAAATGTAGTTTTATAAAGTCTAGCAAAATTGTATAGATGGCAAATTTTCGTTTTTGTAAAGCTAAACTGGAAACGGAATACTTACTCAGAACGTTTCGTCTTACACCTCCTTCGGATGTAGGTTCTGAGTAAGCACTCCGTTTCCATTTTAGCTTTACAAAAACGAAAATTTGCCATCTATACAATTCCTGAAGCTAAATGAAATTCTTTCAAGATCTAGCAAACTTGACAATAACCCGTTCAATGAAATATTCTTTTTTAACTAAATGGTATTCAATATTATGGTAATAAACTGGTTTTACTACTAAATTACATGTCTTATTTTCTAATTGTACATAATGCAAGAAGAAATATTTTTAACCAAATTGTAATTTATTATATTAACTAGAACTTTTAAAATGTTTTTTAAAGTCACCTAACAATTAAAAGAAAATGTATTTTATAATTTTGAAAAAATGTATTGGTACAAATACTTGTACAGTACTTTTATGTGATTAATGTAGTGCGTGTTGTGTTTCAATCATTTTTTTTTCAATTCAATTCAATTTGTATTCAGTAATATAATCTTTGTAAAGTTTCTGCTAAATTGTGATAGATATATTAAATAAAGTTAATAAAATAAACAAATTGAATCAATAATATGTCAATCTATACAATTCTACATTAGCCAGATGAATTCAAAACAAACTATTATTATACAAATATGAGGTAAATGGCATTTGAGAATAATAGAATGTGGGAAAAATGGATAATAATATTTATAAATGACTAGATAGGATATAGCAGCACAGATACTAAATATAGGTGGTAATATAAATATAATTAATTAGTCTTATGAAGTATGGCATATGGGTATTCAAATAACATAAAGGAGATAAAACGGAGAACTGTAGTAGGCTAACAAAAAAACCAAAAACAAATTGCATCTACTAATGAGTATAATGCTAGACAATGATAATACATGTGCAACAAATCACAATGCCAAAGCTCTATTCAAAGAATAAATGAACCAGTAATGATATTAGGACTAAATTAAACAAAGAAACTACTAGAATACACGTTTTTGAACATTACAGGGTGCTAACCAAAAGTAACTTGGTTTTCCAACAAACAATGACCACCCTCCATCCACAAAATGTCCTCCCCCATGTATAATACATAGGCCTATGAGTGGCGTGAGTTTTGCTAATGAAGAAGCACTTGTTTATACGTTTTCGAAAATTCTGTTTTCAACGTGACTCAGTTTCAGACCGCTATTTGCGAAGATGAATTAGGGATTCTAACCAATCCTTATCTTCGCTATCAACTAATTTCTCAGTCACGTTGAAATCGGCATTGCCTATTCAGTATGCTATTTCAATATACATTATTCTGATCATGTCTCCATGTTCTGACCAATCATGTCGTTTTTCAGCAGTACTCCCGAAGTCACGTTGAAATCAGCGTTACCTAACAGCCATACACCCATATATCTTTACACTATGGTATTCAGGTATAACGAAAACACAACAGTACGTTACTTTCTAATTATTATAATTATAAAAATCTAACCAATCAGTGTATCGTCCTGCGACAGCGTTCTGAAGTCACGTTGAATTTGGCATTGCAAAATATATCAGCTCATTAAATGACATAGGCCTATCGTAACCTGTTGTATCTGCAATCTTGACAGAAGGAGTTCAAGAAATGCTTATGCCTATGTCCTTGTTTTTGATATTACAGTTTTATAGATAATTTAAAGAGCTGTTTTCTCTATTTGCAGAATTTTTAGACTAACTACAAAATCGATCAGCTCTAGTGAAAACCAATATTATGCCAAATCGGAAAAGAAAGCGTTCGGATTCTCCAACATTTTCCAGGCGGTGTTCTGTACATTGGTTTCGTAAAGGACTTCGTTTACACGACAACCCATCATTTTTAGAAGGTTTAAAAGGAGCAGCGGAATTCAGATGTGTTTATATATTGGACCCATGGTTTGCAGGGTCTTATGACAACACTGGGATTAACAGATGGAGGTATGTTCCCATGCATTTTTCGATTACGTAACCTAAACGTTTGTTTCTACCATTTTCAACCGTGTATATTACTTTGTAATGCACTGGATAATTAGGTTTTCAAAATTCTAGTTTTATTTCATGCTCCTTTTTTGCATACTTTATCACGGTTTGAGTGAATGTGGCTGATGTCTGTGAGCTTGCTATTCAATCTTGAATAGTACTATCAATTTATAATCAAACTAATAAAAAAAATTGCCATATATATATATATATATATATATATATATATTAACTAATTGATGATTTCATTGATAGACTAGGCTTATTTTTGTTTCTGAAGAAGCTAGATATAATTTATTTGTGAATTTAGCATGCCTATTTACACTACCGTTATTATTACATTGTCAAAGTTCCGGGCTATATGCCTAGTTGTGGCTCAGTCCCCGGCCCTTGCTAACAGGAAATTAGCAATGCCACAACCGGTGTATAAAATATGCAAAAATGAGCAAGAAACAACTAGACTTTTGAAAACTTAATTATCCGATGCAGTAAAACAATCCATGTATAATTACTACTTACCTATATAAAATGAAAATATATTGCTCACAAATGTTATTTATTCGATTATTTTAAGATCCATCTAACCTTAGTTTAAAGTCTAAACTAATTCCTCCATGGTTTAACCATGGAGGAAAACAATTAACCAGCTTCACACAGGCGAGATACGATTTATTCCACCTGTGCATGTGCAGAACTAACAATATGCACCAAAGACAAAATCAGCTCTGCAGTGCAATATCAGCACTAAAGTTAAATAATAAAGTTATAATTAATAAAATTGAATATAACACAAATTTCAATGCACTATCGTACTCTTCAAAGGTAAAAGTAGGCAACACGGAATTGGCAGTGAAATAGATATTAAGGAATACTAATAAGAGACTAACGCAAAACAATACATATGAATCATAAAGATGACGACTTTTGAGTCGGGAACGGAGCAGGCTCCATGTGGTAAAAACAAATGTGACATAATAAGTGTTTATATTACCACCCTCGCGCAATAATGTCGAAATATAAACTCTTGTGATATAACTAAGACCCTATAGTAGCCTATTAGATGAGGCCCTACCCCTAATAATAATAATAATAATCAAGAGTTCTTAATTTTAGAAAAGCCTCGCTCGCTTGAAGGGATATATATATATATATATAATCTATATCTATTATGTAGTGGGAACTAGTAACTTAGGCTACACGTTTCCAGAAACGTGACATATTTCTTTCACTGATAGACCTATCGCAAAATCGAACGTAGATAATTCTTCCGCGTATATATTTTGCCGTCCATACAAAAGAAAATATAAATTTGGAAGAAAACTTTGTTATACATATTAGCCTATATTACTTCCTGGAAAAAATTACTATTTTAATTTGCTTTTTAAATCATTAAAGCAAGCGAACATTAGACCTAGTATTTAAATAAACTAATGTTATTAAGGACATTACTGGTAGGCCTATATCATTTCCTTCGCCATGCTTGTAATTATATTTGTCATGTTGTGTGTAAGTAACTATATGTTTATCTGATATCAATTATCTACTTAATCTATCTATTGATGAGTTTTTCTGATTTGAGCTTCTCTGGATTAATTTCAGTGCGTCAGAAGTAAATCATGAATATTCATATCCACCACAATGGAAACTGTGAAAAAGTCTCTAATGACTTTTGTGCGCATACTCCTTTTCTCAATATAATTGCTCCTGTTGTAAAAGTTTATTTTTATTTGCAGGAAGCATTTGTGTGATCTTAAGTAATCCCTGACTTAAAGCCCCATTCCCGGCATAATTTCACTAAAAATATTGTTTTCTTTTAGAAAAAATGCATGCCTACTGCATTACTCTATTTATTATAAACCATGGAAAATTATAGGCTTAAATTTTAGTTTTACGCGAAAAAGGATTTTTAAAAAATAGAAATAAAGACTATTTCTCATAGGAGATTATCTTTATTCATCCCACAATTAATTTAAAAATAACCCATTAATTAATCTGTTCAGTCTGTTTTACTGAACTGCTTACATCGCCACCGTATACTGTCGTGCATTCGTGAGTAGAGTTCCTACATAGTATATAGGAACTCTAGTCGTGAGCAGAGCTGTAGATAGAGAGAGTTTGGCCAACCAACTCGGTTTCATGGTTTCAGGGATTCTGCTATGCGCGTGTGATTGGGTGGATCGCAATCACATGACTTACACCGGCCATGTTGTCACCAAAACAAACACTGGCGAGCCACAAACTAACGCGATAGGATATATTAAAATCCCATACCGTACTCGCGCGAATAAGCGCCCGGGCGCTTAAAATATTTTTTGCACTTTCTGATGGGCGCTTATTTAAACGGGGCGCTTATGAAAACAGAGTGGAAATTATTATTAATATGGAAATAGATGAAAATCGAAGGGTTCTTATGGGAAATTATTAAATTCAAGAGGCAATTTTGAAGGACATTACGAATGGTGGTTACGCGGAAAAGATAATCGTCCAGAGAACATGGCCCATGACAAGAATGCGTGAATATTTACATTACAGCAAAATAGCAGATACAATTAGTGGTGGTGGGTAGTGGTTAGCTTGTTGGCCATTGGCCGATTGAGATTAGCAGGATGGCAGAATCATTGTATTTTTTATTTGAAAAATCAGATGAGAGTGTGCTAAAGGTTCAAATTGTCGGAAAAGAAAAAGAGGAGTAGGACTAGTCATAGACAAAAGTATGTAAAAAGAGTAAAGTTGGAAATATACTGTCTGTCCAGGGATCGGAGCTCTCATCTGTCCAAGAGAAATATCCTCATTTTGATATTGACCTAAGAAGAATGTGTTTCCACTCTGCAGCTCATTATGCCAACAACCACAGTTCCAGGATTGATTGGATTATTGACTTGCTAAAAAGAAAATCTTATGATAGGGGGCGCTTATTCAAACGAGGCGCTTAAGGGAATTTTCACGTTAGGAGGGGCGGTTATTCGAGCGGGGCGCTTATTCAAACGGGGCGCTTATTCGCGAGAGTACGGTAATTGAATTGTCCTCATGAACTATAAAAGAAAGTTTATGCAGCATCAGTGTTATAAAGTGTTATAAAGCTAATACGCGCGCACGCTGTTTGGTAACAACATGGCGCCATGCGCCAAGTTGGCCAAACTAACGGCGGCTCGCGATTTTTTTTCCGTACGAAACATTTGCATGAAACTTCACTCGGGCCATCTCGGATTGACTCGAGTGAGTACGATACGAGGAACAAGAGCAGACACTTCGCAATGTCGTGACGCTCGAGTTTTACTATTATTGCTCTTTCTATGTTTACCTACGGTAGGCC